CATGCAGCGGAACTACTACTAAAACTACAACTAGCATGCTAACGACTCCTCATTCTACGGGCCCTATACGATGCTGATCGCCCACTAGGCAACGTTTCTCTGACCCTAAGCCACAAAGGCTAGAAGGATCAAACATCCCTTCTCCCAACCAAACCGTTTATAAGAGATCACATCTCTTACGGTGAATTTTTTACTACCTCGTCAGGCAGCCTCGGGTGGTAGCGAGCCATTCCGAGCTATTGGGACAATCAAGACATCTCCATACTATAGTCATAAGAAAAATGACTTACAATAACTACTTCCTACGAGCGGATTAAACCTCAATACTACTCGTAATAAGATCTACTAGCAAGTACCTACTACACATATGTTAATCGAGCTAATGCAAGATTAACTAACAACAATCAATCATTCAACAATCAAACAACCTAACATGCTTGCTAATAATTTAAATTCGTAATAAAAATTACGAACACCCAAACAATATTCAACATCATGCAACTACCAGAAATAAATCAAGCAAGAATGCGAGATCTATCTAAAATAATCAACCCAAGTATACGTCAAAACATATAACCAGCTAACCATAATTTATGCATAATTTATACTAAGTATAAAAATGCAACCTCATGCCTAACCATCATAAACCCAAAAATAAAACCTAGTCGTGTGCTACTACACTCGCTACGGAACTCACCTTGGCCTTATTGTCGAGAGAATAAAACTCTACCCTTGACCGCCTAATAATTTTGATCCGACCGAGCTATCTCCAACGCGTACTAACGATGGATCTAAGCGTCGGACCGAAAACAAAATTTAGAAAAAATATTCTAAAAAGAATAAAAGACTAAAGGCGGAACTACTTACCGGATTACCCGACTACATCTCTCGACTCGACAAACTTCTACCCGACTCGGACTCCGACAAGCTTCTCGAACTAACTAACGGTTTAAGGTGGATTTTTGGTGTGAGAAATAATGAATGGGATCTCGTGGGTTTATATAGGGTAGGGAAACTTGGGGAGCAAGCTATAGTAACTTGGAGTACAAGCTACGGTTGCTTGGCGTGCAAGCTAAGGAAAAGATAAGGCTTATCCTTATCTTTATCCATGTTTATCCTTATCCGAGCGTGTGGTGCTTCACGCAAAACACACTCCAGCTCGTGGCACAGCTGCTTATGCCACAAGCACGTCTACGACATGGCCTCCACGACCACTCGTTCCATTCGCTCACGGTACACGCTCGTACCGAGAGCTCTCCGACCACCGTTCGCTCACAATGATCATTACCTATTCCACTTCGACAAATCTAAAAATAAATGACTAAGTCATTTAATTACTCCACTAAATCTTTTTGTCTCCGTATCCGATTCCGTTCGATCACCGCTTGCTTGTATCGGCCCAAAATTACTCTTTCTTCGCTAAAATTGATTTCCTCCGATAAAAACTTTCTCCACGTAACATCACTCTTTCATTTTCCTCGGAAAAATTGATCTTTCCATCAACCAATTTCCCGTAAATAAATCTCCTTGGTGAAAGTATGATTTTCGACGATAGCCTTAACTGCCCAATGCTGTAGCCGATTCTAGTCTTCTTCATACTTAGCGTTAACCGATAAATTCTCAATTCACTACTACTCTGATCTTGAACATCTACGGTAAACTTCCTTCAGTCTTCGATCCTTCCGGTAAAGTTTGATGATTTACCCACAGCTTTATTCAATTTTTCTTTCCGAAAAATTTTCTAAGTCACGGTCGAACTTCTACGTTCGCGGCCTTCCGTCTGATTTCTAGTCATAGTCAGGGGTATTACATTCTCCTCCCCTTAAAAGAATTCGTCTCCGAATTCTACTAGATTATGGCTAGTTCCTCTGATCTCCTCTATGCTTTCGGTTGATCATATCTCGTATCGTTGTTCTCTGACTCTCTCCTTGTCTCTCTTCTTTTAAGATCTCCTTTGAGTGTTAGATCATGTCCTGGTGACAAGATCATTCACTCGCTTCGATCCATTTGTTCTTCTTCAATACTTCATGATCTCTCCTAAATACCACTCTCCGTTCAGTCTCTGCTTCAAGTCTTTATCTCCTGATGTAGCCCTACTCATCCCTGATTCTTCTCGTGGTTTGTTTAGTCTCGAGTACTTGATAATTTCCTTTCTTATCAAATAAACTCCGACAATTCTCTTTTCCTTACTTTGGTTGTATCAGACAGCTTCTTCTTGACATCAACTTCTTCTATTATAACCACACTTGACACCAGTCACTTAATTCTCTCTTCATACTTCTTGATTCCACTATTGAAAGTAATCTTCCTCAGATCTATAATTTGGAACAAGAGATTAACTCATTGCGCCAGGACAATTTGACTCTCTTTGAATACTACACTAAGAAGATTACTCTCTGGGTACGACTAGCATGTACTAAGAATCTGATGGAAAATGGTGGATGTCGTTGCTCTCGGGTCTTGAAGATCTTGGATGATCATGAGACCACACGTATCACTCAATTTCTCATGGGATTGAATGATGACTTTGCTAATATCAGAGGACATATCCTTAACATCAAACCTCGACCTAGTCTTTCTGATATGTATAACATGTTAGAGTCTGATGAATTTCAGAGAACAAGAAACGTCAGTCGTTATACTCCTTTTGCCTTCCAGATAAAAGCTCAGGCGAATGCTTATCAACCTAAAAGATCTTTGAAATCTCGAGTTAGTTGTACACATTGTGGTTTGAATGGTCACTCAGTGGATGTTTGCTATAAGATTCATGGTTATCCTCTTGGATGGAAACCTAAAAGTCAAAGAAAAAACCCCCACTCAAAAGTTCTACACACCTAATGCTTCAGCAAATCTTGCTCTCACTGAATCCGTGTTAGAGATTGAACAGACTCTCAGTCTAGAATAGCTTCAGCACTTGGTATCTTATCTCAATTCAAAGCTGCAGCCTCAGAAAAATGGTACTACTGCTAGTAGTTCTACTGCAACACTCACTGAGATACCTTCTACTTCAGCTGTTTTAGGCATCAATCCTATGGCATGTCAAGTCATTGGTACTCTTTTCCCTTCCATCTTTTGTTCATTATCAACAGAGAATTAATCATATTTCTATTCTATATCTGACAAGATAGTGAATATGAATACTTGGGTTATAGATACTGGTGTTACACACCATGTTACATATGATAAAAGTTTGTTTGACACCATGACTTCTATTAAGCAAACTACAGTGAAGCTTGCTAACGGTGTAGGTGTGAGAATTCAGCTGGCCTATTAAGCAAAAATAAATTAATAAATAAAATAAAATTAATGTGTTAGAATGGGTCTAAAGCTACAAAGCTGGCCTGGTTTGTTTTAAAATTGTTGGTTTGATGGACATTTTCGATATCTCCAAAAAGGATTTTGATTAATTGAACCTGAAATTGAAGCTTAGCATCATTCTTTGGTTCGTGTAATTGATAAGAAAACTATATGAATGATAGATGATTTGTAAAATGAAATTTAAGCATGATAGCTGATTCTTAAATATATAATTTAAACAATGGAATTTTTGTTTAGAGAGATTATCATTTAATTTGTACTAGGATTTAACCCATGGTACACCACGGGGCAAATGTTTTATTCATATATATAATAAATATTAAATTTTATGGTTTTTAATTTAGTATTAAAGTTATATAATTTTATATTAATGTTGTAACTAAAAAAAATTAGTGATGATAAAATAATAAAGTATAGATATAACCCATGTTATATTAATCGAAACCCGTCCCGCTATATAACTCGTCTCATGATATTTTAATTAATAATGTTTTATAAATTTAAAATATATCAATAATAATATTTCAAAAATAATAATTGTTTTTTGACTTTAATGTGATGACATTCTTTGTAAATTCTTACTTTACTAACACAAAAGTACTTTAAAAAAGGTAATTCAAATTTTTTAGTATATATAAATTTATTGTTTTGGGTAAAAAATATTATAAATAAATATTTAATTTAATCATAATTTGGGATTGATATACTTGTGTTTTTGACTAACTGTTTTTTCTTTTAATATAGCCTATATTTGGGCATTTTTGTTAACATTATTTGAATTAGCAATATCAACGTAATACATGTACAATTTATTCTTACCAGAAAAAGAACAAAATTTAATAAAAATCAGAAAAGAAAGTTTTAGGGAGTGATAATTATTTTGTACAATTGCAAATTGGAAAAAAGTATATAGAAAAACAAAATTAGAACGCCGGAATAAAAAAATCAGAAAAGAAAGTTTTAGGGAGTGATAATTATTTTGTACAATTGCAAATTAGAAAAAATATATATAGAAAAACAAAATTAGAACGCCGGAATTTAAAAATCAGAAAATAAAGTTTTAGGGAGTGTTTTTTTAAAAAAAAAATTGTGATGGATGGCTTCTACATATGAACTACTATAAGAGAAAGATCATACTCTCCAAAAAGTGATTCAAAATAAAATAAAATCAATTTCGATCTTCTCAAGAAGAGTGATATTGTATTGAACAAACATGATTGGCAAGAAACATAATCAAACATATGAAAAAAAAAAAAAAACATAAAACTAAAACAAATTTTTTTTTTAATGAAGAATTAGGAAAAATTTAAATGATTTTTGTAATTTTTTTCTTTTAGTTTCCTAAATTTTAGTAACAAAATCGATTAATATTTAGATTTGAGAAATTTTTTGTTAAAACATTAAATGCCAATGGCATTGTATTGTAAATAAGTTCCAAGTCCAAGATTTATTTGCTAAAAGTGATTCAAAAATGTATATATAGATTTTACTAAATTTTTTTCGTATATCCTAGAGCAATTCTCAATAATACCATCAACTGAGTTTTAGCAACCATTTCTTATGTGTAACGAGTTTTAGCAAACCATATTTAAATAATACCACTGAATTTAGCCGTTCGTATATAACTTTTCTTTTTCTTCTAAAGTCCGGTAGTTTTTGTTAAAATAGGATAATTACATTTATCATTATCACTTTACCCTTTTGACCTCTAGTAGCTTGGCCTCTAAGTAGTTTGGCCCCTAAGTTTTCATCCCTTATAAATACCTCTTATTTGAGAAGTAGAGGATGCACGCAGAAAATAAGAAACTCAATATTTTAGCATTTTATTCTTTATTATTATAATATTTTAGCATATTTGCTCTCGTTTCTCTCTTCTTCTTCTTTATTATTATAATATTTTAGCATTTTATTCAACACGTTATCAGCACGAGTAAGCTCTCGTGTCCAGAATCAACCAAGCATCCGTCCGATTAAATATTTAAGGTATAGTGAAGGTAATATTTTAAATTATGTTTAAATTTATTTAAAATTTGTTTATTTATAATATTTAAGAAATGGAAGGTTATACCTCCTTCTTGATCCTATGGAAGGCTATGCCTCCTGAAACGGATCATGATCATATGGTAGGCTCTGCCTCCTCAAATCATTATTTTATAATTACATATCCTGAAGATATTTATTGAAAGTTCCTGAAGAACTATACAAAATAAAATATATGAAACAAAAATGTCCAGAAGACATATGAAAACGTTCCAGAAGAACTATATAATAAATTTTGTCCAGAAGACAAATTATAATTATTGTTCTTTTAATTTCGTAATTATATTTTAATTTCATGTTTATAAATTCCATTATGATATCTAAATTGTTAAATTTTTAACTATCTGATTATATATATTTACGATTGATTTTTGGGTTAATATTTTCACCAACGGTCATGAAGAAAATTTTCAAAATTTTACATTTTTCAAACGGCTAGGAACATTATTTATAACGGTTATGAACAATAAATTTCAATCTATAAATACAATCATATTTCATTCATTTCATTTCACTCATTCATCATATATCTCTCTAAAATCTAAGAAAAAAAAATGGTTAATTCATTCTTAGTTTTTGTAATAGGTTTTATTTTTGTTGCTATTTATGGTTTAATTTTTGGAGAATTTTCTCCCGAAGAGTTTTGAATGGTTTCTATTTTACTTTTCTATGTAATTGTGTTTCTTGTAATCGCTTCACTTATGAAAGTACCTTCTATGTTTTAAATTAATTAAATGAAACTTTTAACAATGACATTTGTAATCGTTTGCATATTTAAAATGGTTCAATTTAATTAAATAACATTATCATGCCATTTAAATTACAATTGAAAAACGATTAAATTTATGTTTAATAAATTATTTTATATGTTTACAGTTATCATGTCAAATTTGGCAAAACTCGAGATCACTGCCCTTGATATCTCTGGGAATAATTATATGAGATGGGCCGTTGCAGCAAAGAGGCATTTAAAAGGAAAAAGGCTCATTGACACCATCGATAAATCAAAATCATCCCCCGAAGAGGATAAGGCAAATGCCATGATATTTTTAACCCACCATATCCATGATGGTTTAAAAGATGAATACATCACAAAGAAAGATCCTGCAGATCTTTGGCAAGCACTCGAAGATAGGTTTGATCACCAAAAAATATGTGATCTTACCAAAAGCAAAACATGAGTGGCTGAACCTCCGGTTTCAGGATTTCAAAAGTGTTGCCGAATATAATTCCGCTTTGTTCGGAATTACTTCCAGGATAATGTTATGTGGAGAAAATATAAGTGACTATGATATGATTGAAAAAAACTCTCCAAACATTTCATCCTGGAAATGTACTTCTG